TGATGCCAAAATATTTGTGTATTTCAAAGTGACTTGAACATTGGAAGTAATTTTTTAACTAAAATAAACGAAATAAGTTAATTAATAAATTACATGAATTTAATAATTTTAACAATACAAACCTCATTTAAAAAATCAAGGTTTATATTTTCAGAATTATTAAGACTTTTAAGAGCAACTGTTGAATTTATTCCGAAATATTTGTTTACGACCATCCCATTCATCTTTTATACCATCAGCACATGTCGCCTTGTATACTTTACTGAACCCTCCTTTAGCAAGATACGTAATAACTCTAAATTGTTCATATGGAATAAATTCGATAAAAACATTATTATTCTTGCATGCATCACTTACTTTATTTACTTCATTACCAATTATCTATAATTTTGTTACCACTGAATATAAAGTTGTCACAAAAGTTGCATTTTTGGGCATTGCTATCCTTATGACGTCTTCTTTTATTACAATATTTGCACCTTTTAAGCATATAATCTTTATTGTCCATAATTTACTATTAATTTGAGAAATAATATAGCCGAATATGATATGATAAAAGATTTTAAAATTTTTAAATTCGAAATTTTTGATGATACCCACAATCATTAAATTGATTTTTCTGTATTGGCGGGTGTCATCCAGAATGTAATATATCTCGATAAATGTGTAATAGAAATATTCTTTATTTGTTACATCATTCGTAAATTACAGCAGATTAGAAATTTCTTTCGAATTCTTAGAATGCTGTAATGTTAATCTTCCCCTGAGCTTTGTTTCGGAGAATAACGCCACAATGATGGAAGTGTGAACATTTTTGGTGTTGGTGTCCACTAGTATTAAAAAGGGAAAATATCGCATAGTAATTATTGATACGTATGTTTATTCTTGCCTATCATTACTTTTGTTACATTAAATATCAATACGTATAATACTGTAAATAAGTCAAAAAATCTTATTAAATTAATGTATATTAAAACACGTATAGATTGACTTTATTGTATTGTACATTTTTTTATTTATGAAGTTAAATGAAACTCTTGGGAAAGATAATTAATTTTTTTTATCAAAAATATTAATTTTACCAAAAAAATATTAATGGAACTCTTGTTTAATGGATTAGCATCCTAGCATTTTTCCATTAAATTAATATAAACCTGCGGTAAGTTGCTAATGATTTCAAGACGAATATCATTAAGAATATCAAAAATAAGGAATTCATAATGATTACAATCAGAAAAGGTTTTGACTAGTTATCATTTCCACATAATCATTCTAAGCTATATATATCTGAAGTTTTGTATATTTTTCACAAATGAATGAATATTTCAGGAGCAAAAATATTTAGTTTTCGAATCCAAAATTAAAATTATGAAAGTTTTTTGAAATATAATTATGCAAATCACCATTTTGTGCAAAGCCCGTTACAATTATGTTTTCAGGACAGTCAAGGCTTTTTAAGAACAACTGTTAAATTTTTTCGATCGTTAAATGGTTGTATACCGTGCATCCATTTAATTTTTATACCATAAGCACATGTCGCCTTGTACACTTTACTAAACCTTCCTTTAGCAAGATAAGTGATATCATTAAACTGTTGGGAATTATCATCCTTATGACGCCTTCTCCCTTTATATATTTTTACACCTTTTATCTTTACATGCTTTATAATTCATAATTTTAAATAATGTGCTTATAGCAATTAAGTCCGTGTATACTGTAACTAAATATAATACAGAAATCTTCAGAAAATAAGTTTATGTCGATATTTATGTTTTTTTTTTAGCTGGAAAACGGAAAAAAGGCTTTTTCTGACTCTTAAATAAGAATATTCTTTTTTTCTATATACCTTCACTATATAACAGAAAATTCCTTTAGAATTCTTCATGTATATGAGAACATATTTGAGTGCATGAGAGTGAAAACCGGAACTTATCATAGTAAATCATTATATGCAGATCCAGGTTTTTACTCTCACGCACTCATTTATTGTTAGTGCATACGTATTAGGGTCTATTTAAGCATCAATACGTATTAATATTAAAAAAAAAAAAAAAAAAACATTACACAATTAAGCATATTAGTATGTATGTACAGTACGTACGTACGTTGCTTATCTAATAGCAGATAGATCAAAATGACAGTATATCCGATTTTAAAAAGGAATACTTTGCCTAATTATCTAGATTAATGAAGAACCTAAACTAATCAGTAAAAAAAACTTATACCGATAAAAATTAAAGTTATTTCGTATTATAAATCTCAGAAGAGGTTATCATACGTAAATTACTTTTAGTAAATTTGTTTAAGATTTTTAGAATCACGTTTTCGGCTTGATGTATTTCTTCATTCTGTATCAAAATAACAATTTTATTATAATAATCGGATTATAGTTTTTTTATAAAAGTAGAAAGCTCACACTATGCTAATTCTCTGCTAGGTGCTTCGCGATTTGTGATTGAATTATCAGTGTGTGACGTATCATTTCTCGGAAAAAAATTTTCAATACAAACTTAATACTGTATCAACTTTAATGTAATCCCATTATTTTTTTTCTGATGTTTACAGTGTCAAAAAAATATTTAAAGTCTCATACGACTGTTACAGACATACCAGAACACTAATGAGATGCGGAATATCTTTCAAAGTAGAAAGAAAATGCTACGTATTATTAATTTAAAACAGGTTTCGTATGAGTAATGATAGACTAAAAACTAGGGATGGTAAAAAATCATTTTTCACCGATTTAAATCATGCGATGATTATACTCCAGATATGCTGAGGTTTAAATTTAATATATTCGGATCATATCATAACATGATTTAAATCGGTGAAAAATGATTTTTTACCATTCCTACTAAAAACATATAATTCTTAGATATCACAATTTAGATCTGTGTCACGAGATGAAATTCAATGAGTTAAGATGATGTAATAAATTTTAGAGGCATGAAATTACTCTAAAAAATTTTTTATGATATAGATCATCTATTATTACAAATCACGAATTTCTTGGAAGGGTAACATTTCATCATAAAAATTCAAAAAATTTAAATATAAAAGGACAGACCTATTGTTGGCAAATAATTTTTTTCTTAAATCTTATTTGCTTGATTACATGAGTACGCATGAACATCACAATTGTAAAATATATACGTAGCAAATGGGTAACTTATTATATACAGAAACCCCTGTAGGTGACTCTGTGGCCATGCAAAAAAGCCCAAGTAATGAATTTGCTACTACACCACAGGGTTATCAAGAAACTTCTCGTTCTCGTTCTCGTAAAAAACCTTACTTTAATCTTGAAAATCAAGAATTATATGAACCACTATCAGGTGATGAACAAGATATATTAGAACCAATGCAAATTGAAGAGGATCATAATGAATTTGTTGAATCGAGCCATGATGATGAATCAAGTAATGAAAATTTTAATGATTTTAATAAGCAGCAAGATGTACAGATGCATGATGATTCTATAGAACGCGGAATAAAGTTTGCTGCTAGTCAAATATCGACCGTTGAACGTGAAAGATATGTACGCGCAAAACAGAAACGTGTGAAAGAAAAGTTTGAAAATAATAGTTACAGTAACATGAAGATTTTGAAATCTGGGTGATCTGAGACGCGTAATTATGATGAAGCGAGAAATGCATGTAAAGTTTATAGGTAAATTCAATATACTATTTATTCTTACAACATTATGTAAACACGTTAATTAATAAGATCACGTAATTTACTTTTTTCTTTTAGAAATGTACAGAATCATGAGAACCTGAATGTTATATAAATAAATCGATATAATGTTATGATTAATTGTTTTTTGACTTTCTTTAAATCGTTAAAAAAAAATCACGGATCTAAGTATTTTTTTTTCCTGCATAAGTCCAAAGCACAGTTCACCAAAAAATTCCAAATACATTCCAATTCTTGTAAGGCCGATACAGGTAAATAACTATTTGCAAATAAAAACAACTCTCGTGTGAATCATGTAAATACCTCGCATACTTTGATCGCGATATGAATTATTGATATAAAAAAGTAATTATATATATCAGATCTTTGATTTTATTTTAGTTCATCATCCGTCCGTTATTCCTCATCTAATTAATGACTTTATAAAATATAAAGTCTTAATTTTTAATTAAGAAAAAAAAATTGATTTTTTGTAGTAATATGTGTTGATGGATTCCGCCGATTCCTACGCGATATCCTTACGCGACCATTGTAAAAAAAAAAATTATTGATTGCCATCGAAAGGTGGAACTTGTTTCTACCTATATTACAGAGATTCAAAATATATATATAGAGTATTAATTATTAAAATAATGATAAAGTATGTAAAAAATGCCATCATGTTAATTATTAAAAGAATAACACAGGTTATATGACGAGCGGGGTTACACTTGGTGCTTATAGCCATCTTGAAAATTTTGTCCAAGTTATTTAGAAGTGAATATTATAATAAATTTATCATCAATAATAAATGTAAATCTTACAATTAGATTTTTGTGTCAATATATTATAAGTATATACGCGTTGCCCTTTTTCATTAATAATGCAAAATTTTATTATTTTGAAAGATACTAAGCAAATTTTATTATATGATTGTTATCTATTCAAATACAGAATAATAAATTTATATATATTAGAAATATTATTCATATAACAATTACTTAAATAGCCGAAAATAATGATATAGTATCATGATTGCGAATGGTTATTATTTAAGTAATTGTAGTATACTCGTGATTGCTATTTGAATAGTAATCTGGAAATTTCTCCAGATACTACCACAAACATATACGCGTACGCTATTTAATTCGTTCTTTTTTTTATTAAGAAATATTATTTGTAATCGAATTTATGAAAGCCAAATAAAAATATATTATCGTAAATGATAATCTCTATATTTTGATCCAATTTATTATTATTATTTAATATATATTTCATTATAAAGTACATGAATCATATACACATTCATGACACATATATACAAATTATTCAAACATCCATGGTGAAGATGGATTCTCAATGTAACAATCTGCTGAATTTTGTAAAAGTGCTAGCCTTAAAGATGTTAAATTATTATCTAATTCTGGATATCCATTCTCTATAGTATGCCATTTCTTTAATCGTTCAATACACGCTGAAAAATCTTCTTGGTATACGAATGACGTAACATCTTGCAAGTTTCTTAATATTTCTAGTGTATCTTGTGTACTAAAGATTATCATTTTTCGTGCTTTTCCTGATAAAGTTTGCCAAAAAAAGTAATATATAAGGCAATGGATATTTAAAAATCTCATAATTTTCGATTACAAATTATATTTACCTTCTTGTAATAACGGTAGCGCGTTAAGCAATAAAACAGGCCAAAAACTTATTGGAGCAACCTGTGCTCTTAGTAATTCCATCAATATTGCGCCAGCTCTTTGTATTTCACCATTCTAAAATTGTAAAGTTATGTCAAAAAATATACAATATTATTGCTAATAAAATAAGCATATAAAAATTACATATTACCTGCTTCAATGCGTGAAAGAGTCGATATCTCGCTAAAAACTTAATTGAAACAGGAGAATCGTCATCGAGTTGTATACTCTCAATAGTATTCAAAAATGTTAATTCACCTGTAACGAATGCAATTTAGGTTTTCAAAATTCAAATTTAAGCAATTTAAGTAATTTAAGTAATTTAAGCAATTTAAGTAAGTAATTTAAGTACAAAATACTCAAAAAGCACACTTACCAGTGTCGATATAATTATCCAAAAATCTACGATAAATTACTTCCAGTGATGCTGTATCTCCAGCACTTATAAAGTATACTATCGCCGACGCGTATCGTTCGTTTTGCCAATATTTTTTACCCATAATCTTTTTTTTTTTTTTTACAAACGAAATAAATAAATGAAAATTAAGAAAAAACAAAGATATATAGTTTGTTTATACCCTTGAAATAGTTTTCTCTTGAAACGTTAATCCATTTTCTTTGCATATACTCAATAATTTATTGGCTTTAAATTCGTCTTCAAATGGTATCCTAACAACAAGCTTTTAATCAGATAAAGAATTAGTCATACACTAATTATATGAAAAAAAATTTTCATCCATTCACCTGAGACATATATGAATATCCACATATTTCACAATGTTCAAAATATTTAAACGCTAACTGCCAGAGCGTGGTATGAAACACCATAGATTCGGCATAACTAAGCAAATAATGTTCTCTAATGTCTACATCAGGCCTAAAATTAAAATTATTTAGTCATAAAAAAAAAAAATTTTTTTTAATAATAACAAAAAAGAAACGTTGATTATTACTGTGTTGTAATATTAGTTTGTCTTTGATGAGAACTTTGTGAATGAATTCGCCCAACCAAATCCAACTTATTTAAAATATCAGATAAATGTGCTGATAACCACAAATCGATGCGTTCGCAATGTTGAATCCCCTAAGAAATCATTACTATCAGATATTGAAGAAAATACAATGACGAATTTTGTTTGAATTTTACTTTCTCGACTCGCCGAAAAATAAATTCAATTAATGCATCATCCACTGGGGTACTGCCTGTGTCTATACTCTTCAATATTACATTCAGGATATTTCTGATACAAAAAAATTGGTTAAGATATAAAGTAGACAATAATACGAAACAGTTTTATATTAAATATAAACTTACTTCAATTCCTGTGCATCACATGTCGGACGACCGTGATACACAAGGCCCCCAAGGGCTTCCTGCCATGACGAACTCTTTTCAATAATAGTTTTTGTATGCCCACGTAATATCATTAAAATATCATAGATTCTTCCTTCTAAAAAACTTTCACCACGAAGTTTCGTCTGAAGGTCACTATATGAAGTACAATTGAATAATATTCATTTTACATTATATATCAAAAGTATTCATAATAAAATTTTAATAATATAACAACTAATAATTACCTGATCTTACTGAGCCATTCATGTCTACGAAGGTTGAACTCATGATATTCAAGCTCTGCGACACGTGGTCTGGAATCTAGTATATCTAACACAAGCTTAATATAATCGCTAAACTCTGATCCATCATTCTTGTCAATGCTCCTTAGGAACATTTTTGCTTCAGATAATCCTCGAATAACCAACCTGAATAAGAATAAACTTAATTCCAATTAAAAAAAAGGACTAATTTAGATTGGCTATACTTACCCGTAAAGACGAGACTAAAAAAAATCATCTTGGTGGAGTTCTTGATTTTGTTGTAGTTGTTCTAGGTGCTCTTCCTCTTCTTCTGTTAAGGCTATTAATTAAAAAAATAAAATATATTAAACCAAGTTTTATAATATAAAAAATAAACTTTTCGATAATAATTAAATACAAAATTAAAAATTTACGATGTAAAGGAAAACAAAGATTTATCCATTTTCTAAGTTCGATTGAAAGTTGCCCGAATTGATTGTATTCTTGTTTTGACGGAATATAAATTATTCGGCATAGCTCCCATACTGCAAAGATATCTTGAAATGTCGACAACTCAGAATGAGCTTTTTCGTCTTTAAATTTCATCTACCACCAATTTAAATAATTTAAATAATTTAAATAATTAAATAAATAGTATAATTATTCTTATAGTAAACGTAAATATCTTAAATAAATTCAAATACCCCACTAAGTTTTTTGATGCGATTTTTAATTAGTCTTGAATAATCCAAATAGATGTTACATAGTTTAATCGTGCGTATTCTATCGATATTTACAGAATAATTATTAATTATAAAAGTTAGATTTTGACTGAGTAATCTATACATCCAAATAACTTATAATTACATGTCTTTTCGGTCAACTCTTGCTGCTTCCATAAATTTTAAATATGAATCATTGTAAAACTAGATAAACAAATAAATAAGTAACTCGAAATCCTAATAACTATTTAAAAAGATCCATTGCACGCATACACTTACCGACCTCCGGTCATCAATCGTTCCACTTAGAGGACATGTATAAACTTGTTGATCTTGATGAAGAATCTCTTCAGCTTCTTCACCCTGTAGAATTTCAAAGATTAAATTGACAAAAAAAAAAAAATTATCAATGCAATAAACGGATAAAGTTTTTACCTTTTCTTTTGGTTCCTTTCCAAAAACATAGCACACCAAACCGTTTATAGAATTTGGAGAAAATTTTGCTCCCAACGTTTTATTTGTATTGGACCAATTTATATCACCATCATGCATATAAAGAGGATTGAGATAAACCTTTTGAGAATTGTAAATTGACCCATTCTGTTCCACTACCGCGTCACCTGTGGAAGATGTTAGATATGACTCAGAATCAAAGGATCCGTTGTCTCTCCCGTAAAATCTTGCCGATTGTGGAAAGGCTATTTCGTCTACATCTGATAAATCGCGTTCAGCACTAAAAGTGAAGTCTGCTGAGGGTATGAGAAATTCTGGATTAGACATTTTTGTGCCGTACAACTCGCGTGCGTGTTAACAATACTGTACTTATTAAAAATCTAGAATCCAGAATCGATAATGACTGTGTAACATGCTTGGATGTCCAGATTAGATCGATGATTGCATTACTGCATTATTGCTATTGAATTTTATTTCTCGAATTATTTAGGAGTGTGTACCTTGAAACCGGATGTCTTCTTATCATACGCAGACAACGGATATCATCCTGGTTTTTAAATTCACTAACGATAGGGTCTGATTTGATTTAATGAAAATTTCGATTAAAATTTTTAAAATATGAAAATACGTATTAGATAAAAGTTTGCTTTTTTTTTAGTATAAACATTTGTTTTAAATATTTTTAAGCTTTAGCGTTAGATCCCGCATATCTGATATGTTTGTTCTTGGGTAAAAAAATTTTATTGGCTAGGTTGATATAAAATAAAATTTTTAAAAATAGTTTATTTTTATATATTGTTAATTAAGAATTTAAATTGAAATTTGATTTCTAAAAAAATTTTGGTAATTTAATTTTTTTTGTTTTTGGTTTAGTTTATTATATTGAATACGATTTTTATATTTTTATACTTTAGTTATATAAATTTTTTTTTAAAAAAGTAATTTAATAGGAAAAATTATTTGAAATTGTTAAAGTAGCTTTTTAAATATGATAAAAAAAAATTTTTTTCATTATACTTTAAATATACAGTTTTGAATTTTCACTTGAAAAATGACTATAATATACCATTGAAAATATAAGTAATTATTTGAATCAGCCTTTTTTTTTTATTCATTACTAGATTATTAAATGACGGGTTAAATTTAAACTTTTTTTTTTTACAATATAAAATCAATTATAATGAACAATTTGCAATTTCTCTAATACTCCATGGGATAGAAGTGAACAATCTACGTCTTCATTTACATATACTGTACACAAGATGTAGAAAGTAGACTAACAATGTGCTAAAATAATTATTCTAACAGCTATTTATGGTTAGCGTTAAATAATCATTCTAACAGCTCTTCAAGGTTAGAATTTAACGTTTAGATCAGGATGGTTATATAATATATTAAAATTTCACGAGGAATTTTTTCTGTTAAAAGCTTATGTCTGTTTGCATACGTACAAATATGTATTATTATTATTGTCATTTGTCATTTAATGTCGTTTATAAAAATATTTTGATTTTGTATAAAATTTTTTTAACGATAATTCCTGAAATACCCGATAAAAATTTTCAGAATGATTTTTTGGTTTATAATAAATGAAACTTTCGTTTTAAAATGACTGTCGTTTATAGTCATTTTCATAAAAATTATGACTTTGTCATTTACCATCACTGCTATATTATTAATGCTTTAAATTCTGCAATTTAACTTTTTATTGCTAATATATGGGGGTGAGTCAATAGAAATCAAGCAAATTTTTTATAATAAAATTTTTTTATAACTTTAAACAAGAACAACTTGACAAAAACTTAATAAAAAAATTTTTTAAATAATTTTTACAAACTGTAGAATTATTTTAAAAAAAATTTTATTGAATTTGATCAAGTTTTTGTTAAGTTATTCTTGTTTAAAATTTTAAAAAAAAACTTATTAAAAAATATTTGCTTGGTTTCTATTGACTCAACCCCATATTTCTTGCATGTCTAAAACAACCCCTCTGAGAACTTCTGATTCAACCTGGTCGGGTTCACCTGTGTCTTCCAAATGATTTTATTAACGTCAGGATTAAAAGTATAGGTTCTAACCTCCGGTGGATTTGTAATTAAATCTATGGAGATTCCCTCCTGGATAAACATTATAATAGTAATTAATAGCATTAGTAAAAGGGGCAAGCCCCAGGTAATAATGGCCCAAAAAATTTAACTAATAAACAATTATCAATTATCATTAATTTTTTTACACCTAACGTATCATTTTTTGATGCAGATTCTGGGAAGAATCGATTGGTGAACGCAACTCAATGATGAAATTTGGGGAAACTGGGGGAAACGCTTCGTTTCTGGCTTCATTGGTTAAAGTATCCCATTTACAATAATAGAAAATATAAATTAACGATTTGTAAAGAATGAAAACTATCTTTATATTTAATAACATCCAAAAACCTGGCTTTGAGGACGACGGCAGCGTCGGGAGATAGAATAATGGGTTTATCAAGAGAATCAAGATTTTCCAGCTTAAGCAATCTGTAGGCACCCTAAAATCAAAGTGATTGGAGTATTAGCAACATAAAGAATAATTATCATGTTTTTTCATAATATACCTGCGAAGAACTACGGGCTCCAACTAAACTTTTATTGGCTTTGCATCAACAGCCAACCTGGTAAATAATTTCACATTCCCTCTCACCTAATAAATAATTTCTCATCATAATTCAGGGCTTCTATTGATATTCAAACTCAATATAATACACAAAGCATAACATACTGGATTCAAAGCGAACAGGCAATGATGGTATGATCTCAAGTTGTCCCTCGATGAGACTCATTCGAAGAAAGCGGGAATTTAAAGATACAATTTTTTCAAACCGTTTTAGATCACAGTCAGGAATAATGATATTTGGATTATCAAGAGACATCAGAAAAGTCTCGTATTCACGGTGGTATCCTTTCGCCTGAAATGAACATGAAACATATTACAAATAGGTAGAATTTGATATAAAAATGATATATGGTTAGCCATATCTTTATTTCTTAATTAATCAAAAAAAAATATGTCGGAAATAACTCCTTCTGTTCTGTCGATTGCTATTAGAAAGACCATGACCATAAGGCTACAAATTAATATAAAGAAAACAGGAGTTTATACTCGGAGGTTAGAAGTAAGAATAGTTGTCACCGCAACCAAAGAGGTTCAAATCCAATACAAATTATGTAAACAACAAGAGACGAAAGAAAAACGCAAGCAAGAAAAGTAAAGAATTTAAGTAAAAATCCAGAATTTTCTTTTCCATGTTGGTCTTTCACGATCGCATTGATTATTTATCGCGGTTTTCGAAATGGTGAAATAGCAAATAAATTTTTTTTTGACGAACACTCGAACACTCAAACACTCGATTACCTTAGCACGTTGATTGAAGGCTAATCGGCTCGGCATGACTATTGTTTGATAAACAATTTACAAAATCGGGATCGATCGTCAATCAACGTGCTAAGGTAATCGAGTGTTCGAGTGTTTGTCAAAAAAAAAACTTTATTTGCAATTTTCAACCATTTCGAAAACCGCGATAACTATGATCATTATTTCATACATAACGCATCAATTAAACTCTATTAAATATTAAGTAATAATATCAATATATGACAAACTAAGTTAAAATTACAAACAAATACCACTTGTCTCTGGACCGTTGCTAACATTAGAGTAGTAACCGTTATAAAAAAAAAAAAAAAAAAGATAACAGCTTTAACTACTTTGCATGTGAAATAATTTTTGAGAGCAATCAATTGAAATGTCATTTTTCACACTCATTGTCCTGTCCTTTTAGTCGAATGTTAAATCTTTAACTCTCCGTTAGAATTTTATCGTAGAGAAAGTGCATTCAGCTCATCTCTTAAAAGTGAGCTGTATAACTTCAAAACATGCAATTAATTTTGGCCAGCATTAAGAAATTAATTGCCCATCTCTACACCTGACCCATTTTTTCTTGACACTCTAAAATAATAATAATAAACATCTTTTTTGACCTATGTGTAGGGATGTAATTTTACGTAATTTTGAGTAAGTTTCCGTAAATTAGTTTTTCATGTAATTTGTAATTTTGAACACAAGATATT